TTGGAAAGGGAAAATTCCCAACCAAAAAAGGGAGTTCCCTTTAAAGATTAACATAGATTTATGTTCTTTTTGCATATCTTTTATGTTCTTTTGTTATACCCCTAATGTTCTTTTGTTTTATCCCTTATGTGCCATAGTTCTTCTGACCTTTTGTTCTTTTTGTTAATCTTGTATGTATTTTAGCAAATGTTCTTTGAATTTAGCCCTTATGTTATTTGAATTTAACTATTATGTTCTTTGAGGTATTGAGCGATACATAATTTATATTTTAACATATGTTATTCTTAAATTAGTTTTTAACACCATTTTTAATTATTAAAATATTAAATTTGAATATTATTTATTAATCATCATTTAATAACTATATGTACTTCGTATATTTTTTGTTTGAGATGAGGATCATGAAGGTTGATGACAATATAGAACATGTCTCTTCAATAAATAAATAAAGAACATGATAATATATATTTTTTTTATCAAAAAGAACATGGCAATATTATATAAAGAACATTATTTATATTTATCCACCATGATCTAAAGCCAAAATTCAAATAACATTTCACAATAAGCAATGAGCATTATGTCACAAATAAAAGTACATTACACTTACAATCAGAGAACATGGATATTTACAATAGTTTATCAAAAGATCTTATAAAGATCATTATCATATATAATAATGGACATATGAAAAGAACATATATAGGGTTAAAAGTTAATTATACCATACAAACAAATATAAAGTACATCATGTTTTTTGATAAAGAACATTATTTAACAGTGTGTTTTTTCACTATAGGTATTTGTTCATTACATTTTAACAGTATATTATGTTTTTTTCACTATAGCTATATGCTCATTACATTTCTATAATATGTTCTTTCCGGGGTTTATTTTTCATTTCTATAATATGATGTGGATGTACCATGCGTATCGTGGAGGCGCCTCTAGGAATCACCTATTAGAATCCACCCCCGTAGGTTTTGAACTTGACCTTATTAGACATTAATGATTGATAATTAAATTATCGCATTCATTAATATTATATTGTTTTTTTATTCAATAGCTAAACATCTATTACATACCACTAAAATCAAAACTAAGAGAACACTTGACAACGTATTATTAAAAAATTTCTCTCCAAAATTACTTAGAAAAAAAAAAATCATTGTTATATAAAAATAAGGTTTGTATCTAAAAGAATATGACTTTTACTGTATACTTCATATAAAATCTAAAGTAGGTTTTCTAAAATATCAACTTGCACATTATAATTATTACGGAGTACGGAGTACATATTTAAATATTTTTCTAACATGCTTTATTGTTTTAATGTATTTGATATGTTTTAATACTTGGTCAATCAATTTATAATATTTTATATAATTATATTGCCATTATAATAATTTAACATTCATGCATGGGGTTTAGCCTAGTATAATATCTAAGGGTAATGAAATAAAAAGTCATGCCCAGAGGATAAGAACGAGTTGATGAACGACTAATGATATTGTTGCCTAGGTGAATTTAGCTACAAGCATAAGAAATACGAACGCTTGACAAAGTGTAAAAATATCCACCACAAGATACGGAGTGTATAAATAAAATAAAAGTCTTTAAGTGTGTATATTATTAAGAGAGTAATGAGACTATGAGACATGTGCACGACTGCACGTGTATTAGAAAATTAATTAGTTAATTATATAATCTAATCAATGGAGTATGTGCTAAGGTACGCCATACCCCCTAATAATAACCTTTCTATATGATTGTATCTACCATTTTCTATTTGTCTACTAATAATAGTTGCTATTTGAGTATGTATCTATTATTAGGAGTATACAAAATCAAGCTTGTTGATGGAGATAGTGAAAAACTTTGCAATTCACCTTTTTATTTTGAGGTTATAAATACGAGTTTTATCATTTTCATAGGTGTAGGAGTAGAGGTTCCTTTACCCTCCCTTTTTACCTAACACTTAAACATTCCTTATCATGTATCATGCGATATTTTGATAAATGTTCATGCGATATTTTGATAAATGTTCAATGTTACATTGGTAATTCTTAGACCCGACCTAATTTTGGGCGGAAATTTTTAGCTCGCATCCCGCAAGGCTTGCGCCAATATTGTGGGTTTTGGGCAAGCATTTTCGTCCCGAACCTTAGCTCAATCCGACCCAACCAAGCGGTTTTTTTTATTTATTTTTATTTTTTTTTTACCATCGACCCAGCTTGACCCGTCATTTGATCACTTCTAGTAATTCTTTGATGGATAATCTAATAAGGAGGACAAATAATTAACTATATAAGGGAAGATGTTAATTAATATTCTAAAACAAATGTTATATATCTAAGTATAAATAATGGATATAAAATCACAATTGTGGTACATCAAAACTTAAAAAGTTAGCAACAAACAAAATTAATTATTTACAAGTTTGCCATTGATTCTACAATTTTAACGACTATTTGTTCAACGGTGATTGGTGACAATACATTGAAAGTGGTTTTATAAACTGAGCAAGGTGGTCCATATAATGACAGTTCGATTGAAACAAAAAAAAAAAAAAGGAAAAATAAAACAAACTTAATTGGGTTATTTTGAGATTTTACTATCGAATTTTGCATGATTACCCAATCTTTAGGTCAGTGCACCTTCTAACATATATAGTGTCGGCATTATGCCTTACCCAAAATTTACACTATTTATCATAAAAGAAAAAAAAAAGGTGACTCTAAATGTCAAAAGCATCATTATAATATGTGCAAATAGACCTCGTAAAAAATTTATCAAATTTGGAAATCTACCGGTAAAATGTTTTGGTTTTGGATATTAAATGTATAGGTTACAGTATGAGTTAATCACATTATGAGTTAACCGGTTGAATAATGAGTGACATCCTAGAGCTATAATTTGGAGAGGTATAATCAAGTTCGATTGACATTGTTTTCATCATGTTATTTCAAGTCGTGTCATATAACAAGTTAAAAACGTATAAATGCTTATGGGAAGATGCGAGTACATCATAAACATCCATCCAATTTTGACAATTGAGGTATTCATCATTAGGAGGCAAATGACTGTTGATTAGATATGCTCATATGTATGTAGCTAATGGTATTAGGTGAGTTTCTAATCTTTTTTCTGACATATGAGAAATTCTCGTGTTAAGACGATTTTCTAATGATTTTGTTTTTAACTTAGCTTTTACAAACCTATTCAACTCAACAATAAAAAAAAAAAAAAAGCCAAAATTGTACTCCGTAACTATCCATTGCCACTATTCGTGGATGTCAACTAGTTTAGTTAATTAAAACATTGTGAGATAGTATCTTAAGTATGAGATTAAATCTCGTCTACATCATTGTCCTTACGAGTATTTTTACATCAAAACGTATAAAAATGAAAAGGGTATATAAATAAGAATGAAAAGAGTATTAATCCTTATTAAAGAAAAATTCAAGAACACAAAAAAGCTTCTACTTGTATTTGTTTGTCCTATCAAAAAAAAAAAAAAAAAAATAAAAAAATTGAAAAAGTGCAACACATCACACTCACATACACATTCACATCACAAGATATTACATTACATTCTTCATCCTCTGCAAAAGAAGAGCTAGATTGGCCAAAAATCCTTTCTTTATTTTCAACTTTTATAAAGCTTTTAAATACAAGTAGTAAAAATTTTCAAACATTCTTGGACTTTAATAACTTTATGTTAACTTCTGTAGCAAATATACTTTGCCAAATTTCTCACTTTTTGGCTTCTAGCACAACCCAAAAGAATGAAAATTAGAACAAGGGCAAAAAAGGTAATGATTCTCTGTCACTTACACAGTGAGTATGTTCACTACTATTGCTCCAGCAATATGCATGGATCTTCGTGCCACTCACTTGGTTATGGTTATAAAAAGTAGTTTTGATAAAACTATTTTTTAGGTATTTACAGCAGATATCCAAAGTATATCATAAAGATTATGGAATGGAATACTGAGAAGACAAGGCATCAAAGAAAGGGTTATGAATATGAATATTCAACAAAGGATTTTATGGCTTGTGACTGAAGATTTTAGTTGCCTAGATCCCAATTTAATTTTTTAATTTTGATGGGTAGATCCCGATTTTATTTGACAAAGGGGTTAACAACAAGATTCTTTTTGTAGGTCGGTGTATAGGTGTTGCATTATAGAATACTGAAGTATGAAAGGGGAGGTAAAGATATATTGGGCCGAGTCCGTTTATTGGTGTGGTAAAAGATGAATATGAGGTAAGAATGACATGATAGTATTATTGTCATTGTCATGAAATAGAGATCAAACATGGAACACATTATAATGGAAAACACGACATGATCTTACATCATAAACTACGTTCAAATAAGTGAAATTTTGATTAAATATGAAAGTATGACATAACATGATACAATTAATTCTATCTTCATCAGACCCAAAGTGCATACATGACCCATCATATATCCCACAACCATCTTTAGAGGAAGGGGTGGACAATGCACCATTATTTGTACGAAAAAAAAAAAACTTATAATGACTAATATGATAGAAACATATATAGTACGTATTGCGTTGACAAAATTGTCCTTGTAATAAGTAAAGTACTAGTTAAAATTAGGTCACGAGGAAGTGACAATAATAGTGATTGACGATTGATCTTTAGCCATTTAAACTTCACTTTTTTAGTATTCAATTTCTCACTATGATGTATATACGAAGTATATTTTTTAGATGTTAACATAGCATAGTAGCAAACTTTTGTTTATAATAAAATGATAGTCTCATCCTTAAAGAAAGCGTTGCATATAAGAAGGTTAAAAAAAAAACAAAAAAGAATTTTAGAATTTCCATACGATAATCGACAGTATGTATATAATCGTTGAATATACCAGTCGACATATAATATTATCATAATATACACTAATCTACTAGCAAATAAAGCTAGAATGAAATCCTAAAGATAAAGAAGATTTAATAAGGCAAAGATCCACATAATAATTTCTCTTTCTAAACAAACCAGGTTAATAATATTTTCCTGAAAGCAAACAGAGATCTCTATGGTAGAAAACCTTCATCAATCTACTTGAAACAACCTATCATTAGCTTGGCGAGCTGATAAAAGAGAGCTCTAATTCTCCTCAAAAGCTATACTAGAGTAAGAAAATGAGACGATAGACACAGAAAATTGCAAAGGCAAAAGTTATATCAATTGAATTACAGCATCAAAGAACACACATTGACACGTAAAGAATGAACATAAATTTGATAGACACACTACGTCGCATACAACTATAGATATATTACAAGGATAGATACATTTACAAAAGGTAAGTGGGGAGAACTGTGAACAATTTCAGCACCATATAGGCAAATCCCAAGATGAAAAAAGGGACTTTAGGAGATCATTGGCAACTAGTATTGTTAATCTTGATCTCAATAAGCTCGGTAATTGGTTGACGACAAATTGGGCATTTATTTGACTGTAACCCCAGCTCTTTGGCACACTCACTGCACATACACTGCAAACAGAAGCAAAAATTAGCCAGAGAAGAAAACAAAATATACAGCAAGAAAAAGACTAGTGACAAACTTTAACAAGCTGTAAGATGCATGTTCTGCCCTCTCAAATGGCATATAATTTTGAAATTGTGGCTCCCTCAGGCCTACCCTACATCAGTCAAGTTCTAATCTCCTATAATTGGGGTGACTGGTGAGCTTTCCTTGTTCTTAACAGTCTATTATGATTTATAATTACTGTAAAGAAAAGTAAGTGCATTCGACTATACGAGCGCAAAATTTCAAGCTTAGCAACTTAACTTTGTCTCTACAAAAGAATACAAACAGATTGGTAACTTTTACTGCACAGAAAAAAGGGAAACAAATTTTTAACTCCAACTATATTCCGAACACCCCGCACTCTTCTCCTAGAAGATAATGAAAGAAGAAAAGGACCCTAGATAGAAAACGATAGCAGGAGATGTCAGGTTATTCACAAGCTAAACAGTGAACTAACGAAAACTCATTCACCAATGTCATGGATGGAGCTCGTTTAGTGAAGCATATCTATGCAGTAATGATTCAAGCAAAGGGAAAAAAAATCGGGAACAGGGAAGCTGATCACTCCTTTTTCAATTTTTCTCACATGATTGGGCTTAAGAGATGATGGGCTTTAACTTCGGAGTGAGATGAAAATGGTGGATAGCACTTATCTCCCCAAAGATTGGACTGCTATCTCTGGCTTACTTGCCCAATTGCCCACCCTTATATGCATTTTTTTATTAATTTGATCATATCTTGATTTAGAATGCAACCTAATATGATATCTTCCAACCAAGAAATCCAAAGGAAGTGGCCAGACATCAGGAAAAAGCAGGACTAAGCTGCCAAAACATATTTTAGTTTGCTAATGAGTAAAACCCTGCAATGCGAAATTTCGTTCAACTTCTACAACTTAAAACAACAGCCTCTACTGAACCTAACTCTAAGCAAAATTTACAGGGAGACACAATTTCAACATTTTAGAAGGTTCAAAGGCCTAAAGGGTTACCTATGAATTGACTGTCCCATGACCTCTAATAGATACATTGTTGTCTCCTCATAAGGAAGCTTAATAGAAGAGGACAAGAGGTTCCAAAAATAACAGTATCTAAATGTAATTGAAAGGCAATATTGCCAAAAGATTTATACAATACAAGGCAATTGTGTCACAGCTCAATGTAGCTAAGGTCAATTTATATAAATTACGTACGTAGTAGTAGTAAATACATCCATGAAGAAGTTAGACAAAAATTCCAGTAGACGAGAAAGCACTCTGTTTAGTTATGAGAAAATTTATTAAATTGTAGAATATACAAAATTTAGTTAGCTAATTCATATTTCTTTTGTAACATGGAACATATATTAGGAACTTTCTACTTTATTATATTATAATTTAAGCTTGCAGATAGGGCCTGAATGTAATATGTTTTAATCCATACAAATCACATGAAATCGTTTGAAGTTGAGTTTGTAAGTAGACTCCCAATCATTCTAGTGGTTAAAAAGCATGTGCAGAATCCTAATCTAAAATAAAAAAACTTGTGCATTCTATATCATCTTCCAATTGAGCCTCTTCAAGCATCTCACTCACTCCATTGATCTAGTGAAAAATGCATGGTCTTTTAATAAAGATAGAAAGCACCAAGGAACCCAAATTTATTCCTACAATAACAAGCCAGTGACAACCCCATTCTCCCCCACCCCACCCCCCCACATAAATATATATATATATATATATATATATATATATATATATATATATATATATAAATAAAAAAAAAAAAAACGAGAAAAGAAAAAAGAAAACCCTAGCAGTAGTTCTTTACTTAAGATCGCAAATCATGTTAAAAATGAGTTAAGAAAAGAACCTAAATCTACAAGTTGAACAAGTCCTCAAGAACCAATGACACAAACATTCAAAAGAAGACTAAAAGCACTAAAAGATAGCACAAGTACTTAAAAAAAAAAAAAAAGAAAACAAAAAAGAAAAGAAAAGAAAAGAAAAAGAAAGAAGAAGACTGCATACATTCAATAGTACTGAACAAAGCAGATAAGAATCCCAAGCAGAGGCAGCAGATAACAGTCAGTCAGTAGCTAGACCAGAGCCGTAGAAATCGGATTTGCTCAGATAATGCGACAACTAAGCAGCTGCATGGTCAGCAGACACAGCAGCAAGTTACCAGGGCAGAAAGGAGGAGTCAGCATCAATGAAAATGTGAATGGAAGCATCCCTCGGGGAGGGAAGGGGCAAGGGAATTAGGTGAGCGTCTCAGACCTATAAACACAATCTTCCAAGTACACTATGAATGTAGGAAAAATTAGACGAGGTAAAGATTGGATCAGGTTGGTGCGTTAAAAGAGATGGATCTCCAAATCATAAAATTGATTGGAAATTTGTTACTTGGACAATTATACTAACTGCAGACTCATAAGACTAATTTTTGAAAAATACATGTTTTGGTTCAATATGAAATTGATGTCCATATCCATGTAGCAGCATGCAAGAGAGATAATTTCATTCCCTACAGGTTAGAAAATGATAAATTTTCTGCTAAAGTAGTATAACCTTAACTCCGCCAGTGGGTTTCCCTTTCTGAAAAATACATGTTTTGGTTCAATATGAAATTGATGTCCATATCCATGTAGCAGCATGCAAGAGAGAGAATTTCATTCTCTACAGGTTAGAAAATGATAAATTTTCCCTTGCTAATGTAGTATAACCTTACCTCCGCCAGTGGGTTTCCCGCTGCTAGTCCCAGCCTGGATAAAGGAGGAGGGTTTCGATAAGCCAGTGACACCCAGTGTAAAACTTTGTCACATCCCATGACATGAGCCAAACTAATATTTTTGTGGGGGCATTCCCTACTCAGTGACGCGCTGCACTTCCTAAACTCGAGTGTAGTGATAAGTATGCAAGGGTTGTTAGGTCGTCCCCAGAAGCGACGCGCCACATATATTGCTCGAGTGTGGTGTCAAATGAGCATGGGCATGCCATTGGGGCTTTCCCTACTGAGCGACGCGCTGCACTTCCCACAACCGGGTACAGTGATAAGTATGCAAGGGTTGCTAGGTCGTCGCCCGAAAGCGACACGCCACATTGCCCAAGTGTGGTGTCAAATGATCAAGGGCTAACAGTTGGGGGCACGAGAGAGCGTGGTACGAGTTAGCGTGGTTGAGGGATCGTGTGAGGAAGGACACTAGTCTGTGGATTGGTTCTTGGAATGTGGGGTCTCTTACGGGGAAATCGGCATAAGTGGTAGAAGTGATGAAAAGAAGACGTGTAAACATCATGTGCCTCTAAGAGACAAGGTGGACAGGAGAAAGAGCTCTTGGTTTTGGGGTATAAGGTGCGGTACGTTGGATAGGAAACGAGCCACATGACTAGGTATGGTGGAGCTAGGAATGGAGTTGGTGTGATTCTTGATGAGAGGTTGTCGAAAGAGGTAATCGAGGTCTATCGGAAGAATGATATGTTGATAAGGGTGAAGTTGGCTATGTGGTAAGGAGATTGTGAATGTTATTAGTGCTTATGCTCCCCAAGTTAGTTTAGATGCAGAAGAGAAACGACAATTTTAGGAGTTTAAATGGGCATGTTGTAGTAAGCCGAGATGGCTTCGAGAGTGTTCATGGAGACTTTGGGTATGGGCAGAGGGACTCAGGTGGTGAGACTATTATGGATTTTGCCCAATCATATGATTTAATTTTGGCTAATACTTGGTTTAATAAGCGGGATTCCAACTTGATAACTTTCCGAGTGGAGCAAATGCAACACAAATAGATTCCCTACTCATAAGGAGCACGGATAGATAAAGTTGCTTAAACTGCAAAGTCATCTTAGGAGAGAGTGTGATCACCCAACACCGGCTTTTGGTTATGACTATTTGTTTGAAAGAGAAGGCGAAAAAAAAGGAAGACAAGAGGAGCCAAGGATAAGACGGTGGCTCTAAGGGATGCAAATGCTAAAGTTTTTACAGAAAAAGTAATTAAGGAGGCGGATTGGAATGGAGAGGTGGATCCAGACATGACTTGGGTACGAATGAAGAACTGTTTCTTTAGAGTGGCCAAATAGGTCTTAGGGGAATCAAGAGGGAGAACTTCAATGCAGAGAGATACTTCGTGGTGGAATGAAGAGGTGAAAGCAGTAATTAAGCAAAAAAAGGGAATGCTATCTAGCCTTTGGAAAATGTAGGAATGACGAAACCTTTGCAGCATATAAGGAGGCTAAGAGTAAGGCAAAGGCAGTTGTTTACCTAGCGAAATTATCAGAAGGTTTATGAAAAGCTTGCCTCCAAGGAGCGAGAAAGATTATTTATAAGATGGCGAAGAGAAGACAAGAGGCAAGGAAGGATATTAGCATGGTAAATTGTGTCAAAGATAAGAACCAAAGTGTTCTAGTACAAGATGAGGACGGGGGTACTTCGATGAATTGTTTAACGGAAGTCATGGAGTTGTGACAGGAGATACACCTGTGTGAGGGATGAAGAAATCAACGTGGAATATGTGAGGAGGATTAGGAGAGTAGATGTGGAGATTGCACGGGAGAAGATGAAGCCTAAGAAGGCGGTATACTGATAGAGGTGTGGAGGTGTTTGGCTAAGATTGGTAATGATTGGTTAACAAACCTTTTTAACAAGATACAGAGGGCTACAAGGATCCCGCATGGAGGAAGAGCACCTTGGTCACGGTCTATAAAAACAAAGAAGACACTTAAATGAGGGATCAAGCTAATGAGACACATTATGAGGATGTGAGAAAGAGTGATTGAACATAAGTTGAGGGCATGTACAAGCATTTTGGATAACCAATTTGGTTTTATGCCATTTGATAAGACAAATGATGGAGTTTTATAGGGTAAAGAAGAAGGATCTTGATATGGTCTTTATTGATTTGGAGAAGGCATATGACAAGGTGCCAAAAGAGCTACTTTGGTGGGCAATGTTGAAGAATGGTTAAGGATATGTATTGGGATGTGTCAACAAATGTGAGGACATGTGGAGGGTTGACAAAAGATTTTTCTATTACAATTTTATTACATCAAGGATCTGCTTTAACCCCTTTTCTTTTTACAACGGTTCTAGATGAAGTAATCAGACCAATTCAAGTCCCACGGTGTATGCTGTTTGCAGATGATATCGTTTTGGTGGATGAAACTAAAGATGGGGTTAATGCCAAATTGGAGCAATGTAAATTCATCTGCGTTGGTTTGGGCATGTAAGGAAAGGATGCACCGGTACGAAGAGTGAAAGAGTGGGACCGTGGAGGGGTTAAATGAGGGAGAGGGAAACCGAAAATGACTTGGTTGGAAAGAGTTAGAAAGGATATGAAGTATATGGATTTGCATGAGGATGAGGCATTAGATCGGGATGGAGGAGGAAGATTTTTGCGATGACTACACGAAATAATCACTTTTGGTTTATGTAGCCGACCTCACTTATGGGATTAAGGTTTTGATTGATTGATTAAAGTAGTATAACCTTGGTTAACAACCAACATGTCAGATTATATATTTTAGAGATTTTTTCGGGAAAGAAAAGAACCAAAACAGCAGGGGTATGCGATTCTAAGATTATTTATACATTCTATTTTTTATATTAGCTTTTTTAACAAAAAAATAATCTACTACCAGGGTTGGTTTAAGAAATGAAAGCACTGACATTCAATCTAGCATATTCTGAGACAAAATTGAATTCTAATCTGACATGAAAATTTGAAGCGCTCAAGTAACTAGTTAGAAACCATATATGAAGTATTCGAAGAAAAAATAATTGGATAAGGCAGGGAAGATGAAAAATATAAATATATATACGTAAATAAGCTACCTCAAATGGGAAACTATTTAAGTACGGAAATGATTAGGCAAGGTTTGTGTTAAGCGGTTAGCAAAACTATTTCAAATATTATGGAGAGAGGAACCAACAATCTACCAGTGCAATAGAGGAAGAGAACTTTGGTGAACAAGAACAACGAATATGCTCTAAACCACTATTAAGGGATATAAAACTGAAGGTTAATACAATAAAGTATGGAAAACGATGATTGAGTGCTTGGAAAGGTTTTAAAAATCCAATTTGACAACCCGTTAAGTTGTATTGTTGTTGGTTTTGTTCAAGTTGTTTATAGAAAATGAACTAGAATACAATATTATAAATGATATCAAGAAGGCATAAGACATAGTAACAAGAGACATGCTTTGATAGACACTGGCAATGAAAGGTTCATATTGCATACATTACCAGCATAATAAAGAACATGTACAAGAATACGAGAATCAAAGTTTTACATAAGCACAAGATTTCAAAAGGATTTTTCCAATACAATTAAGTTACATCAAGGATTTGTACATGTCATTTCCTCTTTGCAATGATTATTAATAAGTTGGTGAGGTCCATACAAGATAAGGTTTCACGGTGTATGATGTCGCAGAAGATACTTTTTGATTAGATGGTTTTAGAGCAGTTGTTATAAATAATTTAGAACAGCAAAGGGTCAAGAGTCGCAAACTCCATGATAGAAACTCATTCATGGCAAAACATAAAGCTAGAGTGCAAATTTGGAATGGAAGAGGATTCCAATCAAGAGGTGAAACTGGATGAGAAATGTACCTTCATTGAGTGGTTTAGGTACTTAAGGTCTACTGTCCACAAAAATAAAGATCTTGATCAACATGTTTTGCAAAAGACTAAGTCTGGATAACTCAAATGGAGAGAAGCGCCAAGATCTCTATTGTGACTAAAATGTGTTTCTCAAGGTGAAGATCAATTTTTTAAGGATGTTCCAAATATAGGTCAACGAATTTAGCTTTCAAGAAAGATCATGTTTAGATTATGATTAAGGAAAAGATGTGGATGTTAAGGTGGATGCACGGTAACATGAAAAGAGATGTAATTATGAAAAGATGAAAGAGAATAGACTGTGTCGTTGCGGTGATTTAGACATGTCCAACAACATCAGAAGGTATTGATTTGGAAAACAAGAAGTTGAGTAATAATGACATTAAAAGAAGGCAATGGTAACAAAGATTGACCAAGATAGGAAGGGGTAAAAAGGAATATCATAGTGCACTATATATATAGGTGATTGAACTTTCGACCTTGACAATTATGCGTTAGGTTTTTTTGTATTTTTTCTTTTTGGACATAACCTTGTACAAAGTTAAAACAAAATTAATACATACATGAATGATGTATTAGAAAAGGAATGGCTGAGTGGCTTGAGTGTAGAAGAAAAGATTTACAAGAACAACTCATGGGGGTGCCATCGAGCAGTGGGAATGATAATAATTGTGAGAATAACCATGGGAATAGCATTCCCTGAAGGTATAGGTGAAGCACTCCTTCTTAGCAGGTTTTCTCAGCATGGAGGAAGAGTCAAAAGGTTTTCCTTCTTATGGTTGTACGGTGTGCTAATCCGAATTAATATAATGCTTGTCAGCAAATCTATACTATATAATCAAAGGCGATCCTAAATAAGTTTAGGTGTCACATGGCGCTCTCCTCGTTTAATCGAGTTTTTCATTCCATATGTTAAAAAATATGGATCTTACAAGATTTTAACCCACAACTTTAATCTTAAATTCTAACATGTAAGCCACTAAGCTATTACCATATTATTTGCCATTTTATCAAAATATATTAATAAGGATTTCTATCATGGATATAATGCAGTAACTCAGGGCATCGCCCGAGCCTAAAAACTAGTTGTATAATTAATCAATGACATAATACAGTAACATTACACAAAATAATTTGTGTTGCCTAGAAAACTCTTCATGATTCCCGCTATGAGAGAACTGTCAAACACTTACACTATTGATGAAAATCTGCATCTATGACTAACAAAAACACAGAGGAATCTAAGTCTTGAGATCTCACTATCTTGTCAAAAGACTCAAAACTAGCCTCTTTCAAAACCCATTTATGAAACTTGCATTGATGACTAACAATTCAAAGAAGAGATCCCTTGCTAGGAGCCTAGGAGGTGGTGGTTGACTGGTCATTGTAAGCCTAATTAATCACTCCTTATATATGTTTGGGAAATGTATGCGATAATTCCATTACAAAATATAGAAAGGATATAAAGGGGATGGATTATCAGGTAAGCATAAACTACAATCATTTCACAATATGATGTCACATACATACTTAATCATGCTTGAGTAAACTCTTACCAGATGCCGGCAAGGCATTACAGCTGTAGTCTTGGGCTCTGTCATGCATATTACACACTCTTTCCCTGGTTCATCATCATTAAAGGTTTCTGAAGATGAATTTCCTATTCCATATAAATCACGAAGTTCATAACGAACACCATCGATCCATAAAATTTGCCCGATTGCTTTCACTTGAAAGGAACCTTCATTCTTTTTCTCAATAATAGCTTGAGTAACCTGTACCCTGGGAGAATCCTCTACTAGAGATTCTCCTGCCACATTATCTGCATCGTGAGATGAGGAGTATACTTCAGCATATATGACAAGTGGAAAGACATCATCTTCTGATGGCTTCCCAAGACTTTCCAGATCAAAGAATCCCAAGTCCACTCCCGTGCCAGTAGCCTGGCAAAATCTCTGCCCGACCCCCTTCTGGAAAGGGACTTTAACTGAACTGATTGCCTCAGGATATGCTGGAGTAAAGGTACAGGTCTCTTTGTCCTCCTTTGCAAAGTAATAGATAGTAATGCTGTCAAAAGATGTAGCAAACCCCAAGTATCAGTTCATAGTAATTATTCACAGATAAGAAGTTCACAAGGAGATAAAAAAATAAAATAAAATAAAATAAAATAAAATCAAGAACCAGGTCATATTGCTATTACAAACAAGAAACCATGGATTGCGAAAAAAAAGGAGGGGGGGGGGGGGGCGGGGATCATGGCTTTAATTAGTCTGACAGGCACAGCCCTGTAATTATTTAACAAATATTCTTGTCAATCCCGCAACTTCAAAACAGAGAAAACATTTGTGAATTCATTAGTTCAGTCCTCGCTCCTCGCCTTAATACCCAACATTATCACCCTATCTAGCACATATAATCTCAGACTTTATACGGCAAAATAGATAAATGAGTAAAAATCTGAAGATTGAATCCAGCAGACTTTTAACTGCACAACAGGTAGTCAAAATAACTACTGTATGTGTATACGAATGATCCCATTATTAAAAAAGGCACCATTAAAATATACCTATCCAGTGTTTGAAAAAGCGCACCTTGAAAAAGCCCACCTAAGGCGCGCCTAGGCGCTGAGGCGCAAGGGGGTAACCGCTTATTTTGGCTTGGGCGAGGCGTTTTCAATTAGGCGCATCAGAGGTGCACCAAAAGCGCACGAGGCGCACATGAGGCGCACCTGAGGCAAATTTCTGCCAATTTTTTTTAACTGTTAATATAGTACTCCTCACTTCAAAGAGGCGCACTGAGGCGCACCTAGGCGCTGCATAACCCTTATCGCTTCAGCGCGCCTTGAGCTTTTTTATACATTGTACCTATCCCACAGGGCTTTAGCTAGGGCCTAGGAGGCCTACACCACTCTGCTAGATATTTAGGTACTCCATAGGATATAGCATCAGCAAATTGACTTATTTTGCATTCTATATATAAAATTTACTGAGGTTATAAAAATATATTTGCATAATCACCACAATAGTCAATCACCAGCATATTTTACATATGTTATAATAATATATTTAGCACAATACATATGTTATAATAATATATTTAGCACAAACCATAGCAGAAACAACTTTTATGGGTTCATAATATATGCCCCACCAGGAAGTCTTTAAGCCTCTATCATTCAGGGAGAAAACACAAACAGAACAACCCTCAAAGTATCAGCCCTCTTACAGTGCTTAGAGCGCTTCAATTAAGCTTACAGAACGCCTAATTCAATCCATACAAAAACAGATAGACAAGTCAATATCCGATCATGGAACATGATATTGATCAAATCATTGGCGAAAAGATTCTACCTAGATAAATTATGATATGGCACATTGCTTCACACAGCACACACACACAAAATTGTAATTATCTTACAAAAATCACCCTTATACCCTAAAGAAACCTCTAGGGACATCAAATTACCGACTTTAGTCTACTAAAAACTCTAGACTATAATCCATTCATGCAGCCAACAAAAGTAACTCCACTATCAACTACCTACCTCAACTATTCACCTTAGCATCACCATAAGCCAATTCCCACTCACATTGCAGTTGATCATTACTTAACATCATACTCCAAACTCGAAAATGAATCACCTCCCTATTAAAATTTAAACCCATTGCACAACTCTAAACAATCAAACAAGCTAAATGCAACATTGATTCGCCTACTTTAGACATTCAATTATATACAAGAAAACAATAAATACCCTACCCTAATCAACAAGAAAACAATCAAAAACCCATAAAAATCAAGCAAAGTAAGGTTAACAAACCTGCCATCATAATGCGCATCAAAAACAAAAGAAACCAAGAAATGATCAGGGTAATTCTCATCAACTTGAAGCTTAATAGTATCTTTATGAACATTAACATCATTCTTAACCACCTTAGCACTCTGATGCTCAACATAAGGCGGCGGAACCTGCGATGGCGGAACCGGGTACCTCATCTGATGCCACCCATTTCCATTTCCATAATTAGCAGGAATATAAGGAAAATTGGGACGACCCATCATCTGATTTGGGTAATTATATGAATTAGACCACCCAGAATAGCAATAATTGGACTGAATTGCAGGTGGGTGTTGATACTGGTAATGGGTTGTTGGGTATGGGGTGGAAGACACATAAACATAGTTGTTCTCCAATGATTGTTGCGGCGGCGGCGGCGGTGGATGGGGGAGAGAAAGAGTTGAAGGATCAGCGATTGCGGCGGCCGAAGCCGAAGTAGTAGTGGTGGCAGATGGGTGGTAGTAGTACGGCGGTGGTGGAGGCGGTTGCGGCGGTGGATTTGGGTGGTAGTAAGGTGGATGATGGTGGTGTTGATGGTGGTTTTGGTTTCTTCTTCCCGAAGAAAATGAAATCCCCATGTTTAGTGTAAAACTGAAAAGATGAAAGATTTGGGAGATTGAAATCTGGGAATTTGGAAGGATTTTCTGGGTTCTAAAGTTGAGGAGATTGGTGAGAAAAGTGAAGAAGAAATTGGAAAGAGTAAAATTTGTTGTTTTTTTTTGTTTGTTTGTTATTGTAATTGATTGATTTTAGATGAAGTTTTGTTGTGTTGTTTTGTCATCACCGCGTTGATTACGCATTTACGCGCCAGAGAGGTGCTTAGTCGTTGCTTTGACTTGTTCGGTTACCATGAGATCACTGTGGATTCAAGGGTAAGAACCAAATTCTAGGTTGCACCTTTATTGCCCTAGATCATAGGGGAGTACCTTCTATGGAGTACGAAATAGTTGTTAAACTACACTGATAGATAGGGTTGTTTAATTGCTGGTGCTTGAGTGCTTCGAGATTGAAGAAATGGATATATTAGAATGAAATGAGATTTCGATAAGATTTCTCATCTTATGCGACTAATGCGAGTGCTTTTTACAGAGTAAAGATTAGCCAATAAACTAAACCAATAAGGAGGGTCGTTAGAATGCTAGCGTTTTGAGATTTATGCGATGAATATTGGACATGATAAGATTCTTGTCCAAACGTTAATTATCCTTGGACTTTGGGAGTTGCTTGAAAAAACGCTTTACATTACTAAACTGAATACATTAATGTTTTGTTTGGTATTTAGTAGACTGGTAACAGAAGGCGTGCGATGATGAGAATTTACGGCTGAGAACAAAAGAAAAAAAAAGGATGCATGGAGGTTTTTCGGTCAAATTTCGTGAATTTAAGTTTAACTTTGGCAAGTAAAATAATATCGTAACATCCATATTAATCAATCTTAATCCCAAACCTATAAAAAGTTAAAAACTTCAAGTATATCCTTTACCAACCAATACCACCCCAAATATAATGGATGCATGATAAGTGGTTTATTTGACCACTTATTGTGGCGATTTTAACCCGATTTTGTAATCTTTTCCCCTCTTTCTAACCCCTTTTTGTATATAAATGTTGTATCTTGGCTTTGCCACCCCTTTGTGTGTGTTTGTCCATGATTGCAGGTATATGAGACTAGCTTTGACAAGCAAACAAAGTTCGTGGAAAAAAACTAGAGGAAGCAATGAATCAAGAGGGAGAAGCCACTCATAGAGGAGCGGGCGTGCACCTCTCCAGGAGCAGGCACTCTAAATTCTTAGACTACAAACTGCCTCAAGCTACAACTAAAGGAGCGGGCGTGCACCCTTGGAGGAGCGGGCACTCCTCCCTGATCTTCCCCATTCTGCCAGCTTGCTACATCAAGGTGCGGGCGCGCACCTTAAGAGGAACGTGCGCTCCTATCGCCTCTTCAACTTCCTGCCTTCTCTCATGCAGCCAGGAGCGGGCGCTCCTATGTTAAGGAACGATCACTCCTACTGTTCTGGAACCCGATTTTGACGGATTCTCCAATGTAATTTTTGGGGGTATAAATACCACCCTTGGCTTCATTTTTATGTATCTTCTTCTGTAATACTCCGTATTTTTATAATATTTTCATGTATAAAATTATTTATTTTATTTATTTTTATAAATTAAAATGATTCATTTCATTTTAAAAGAAATTAATTATTTAAATATTATGTAAGTGTGTACAAAATAATATGAGTCATTAATTGAGGCAATAAAAGCATTTTGAATTGGATCATCTTTATTTAAATGGTTGGATCAACTTATTGGGAAATTGAGAACACTTAAGAGCCCAACAAGTCTTGTAATTATGAGTTTTTGCTTTAAAAGGAGAGTATAAATACTTTAAAACCTCAAGGTTTTTCACTCAAAAATCATATTTGTCTGATTTCACAAAAAACCCCAAAAGTTTTCTCTTTATTTTCTCTCTCCTTTTTCCTCTCTTTTTCTCTCTCTTTCTCCTACGCCTCTCTCTCTCTCTCTCCTCTTCCCCTCATGATCGGCAGCCACCGGCGCCACCACCGACCACCGACGGCCAGCAGCAGTGGCCGGCGACCACCGTCCCTCCTTATTCTCTCTCTCTCTCTCTCTCTCCTCACGGTTTGGTACCAAAGAAAAAAAACTCTTTCTCCTCCTAATTTAATTCTAGTGTTTTATTATTTTTAAAGCATGATTTTGATTTTGATTATGTTTTGATATTGATTTTCAGTATTTGATGTTGTTAAATTATTCATATAAATTTCAGATTTTTATTTAATCAAAAAACCTAATTTATAAACCCTAGAATTTGGGAATTTATTGTTTATGGTTAGGGTTTGATCCTAGGTTGTTGTTGTTTAATTAATGGTTTAAACATGTTTTAATGAGTTTAAAGCCCTCAAATTAATGCTGGAATTTAATTATACACACTACTTTTTAATTATTGTGTTAGGGTTTGATTACCCATAAATGGGGAAAAGGTTTTAATGATTTAAATATGATTTCTTAGTTTATTAGTGATGTTTTATAATAAATAAGTGTGGTGGAATTTTATTTAAGTCATAAAAACTAAGTCTTTTTGAAAGGATTTAGAGTACCCACTTAAAATAAAGGTTTTATGGCTTTTATGTCATTAAATTGGGTTGATTATTAGTAAGGTTTAAAGTGTATTATAGTTGCTGAAAATTTGTGAGAATAGTGGATTAATTATAGTTATGTATTCTTATTTGTAGGAAGCTTTGAACTAGGTGAATTATAGCGAGTGTGACCGAGTTTAGGCATTATTTAAGGTACGTATGTGCACAAGAATATTTGTATGCGTAGTGATTAGGGGATTTTGCTCCCACCAATCGGAATGCGCCACGTGGGCCAATCAGGTCCTGCCAAGTGTCCCCCAGTTGGACCTCTCAGGGCTTGCCACGTGGCACACGCTTATTCGTCCACCCTGGACTTATTATGTCATGACACGTGGCGTACTCCATGCCTAATGGAGAAGCCGGTCACCTAGGCCCCACTTCCGAGGGAAGCCCAATCAGCCCAAGGTTAACCTAAACCTAGATTGGCACGTTTCCCGAGGTTATAAATACCTCCCTTAAACCTCATTAAGGGAGATTACGCAGATTACACACATTAAACACTCTCACCTAGAGAGACCCAATCACTTTAATTTCCGCATTAATTACTCCTTAATCAAGTACTAACTTGACCGTCGGAGGCGAATCTCCAATCATCCGGAGCATCCGTTTGTTTTGCAGGCACAGGCGTCCGGTTCCAGTCTCGGAATTGTAACTCTCCCGCAGGACATCAGAAAACCCCGAAACATTTTTGGCGCCGTCTGTGGGGAGAGTACTTCTGAGATGGCACCCACGTTTGTACCGGCTCCTGAAGAGAGACGTCCCCTGGACGATCCTCTAGTTCAGTCGGACCACGATACTGAGAATGAATTTGAAGTTGAAGCTCACACAGCTTCAGACGGGACCCTAAGGGCCCGACGTACCCGTCATACCGAAAGGAGGGAACGGGAACATCTTCAAACTGGAAGCGAGCCAGCAGGCGCACCGCCTGTTCGACAGCAGCTGACAAGGGTTAAATCGGTCGCTACAATCTAACTCTCAATCAAACAATACTTATACGAACACCCTATAACCAAGTACAATGGCAAATAAAGGTTCGGTCCACGAGGAACGAGAGTAATTGCAAATCAATCTTAAACCTAAGCTAGTTCGAAATCAATGGAAAATGGTGTTCTAAAATAATACTAATAAGATGGAATAAATCAATAAACTAAGACACTAGGGAGAACGGGAATCCGCCTAACCATTGGTAACTAAGCAACAAGGAATCACAGAGACAAACGGGATATGAAAAGACTATAAGTCTGATCAATATCATGTGATAGGAAGACAACGGGCAATACTAAGCTTGGATTTCTCATGCACTTAACATTACTCGATACATAATCAAACCACATTCAATAATGAAATACTCAATTCACAATCTCTTGTTCAAATCAAGAATATCATGCAATCAAATTCAAGATTCTAGGTTAGCTACTCCTATTATAATGAATTAACATGCAATCGCATATAATCAATTTAATCACAATCCGTTTATCAAAATCAATCCTCAATTACATAGATTACCTAGGCCGGGTTTCATCCCGAAACCCTAGCTAGGAGACTACTCACACATATTCATAATCAAAGCAATAATGAATTCCAAAAGCATAATAGATATAAACATGAATTCTGATTAAGGAATAATAAAGCTTGATTAATAAACAAGAATGAATAATACCAATTGTATTGATGCGAATCAATGGAAAAGTTCAGAACTTTGATATCCGTCGTCAATGAATAATACAAAGAATCTTCGCAAATCTTGCTTCAAATCAATCCAAGAAAACTAAAATCTCTAGAAATATCTCTAAGAAAACTAATGAATCTCTAATACTAAGAACGTTCTCCAATAACTCTCTACAAAGACTCTCAAAACTATCTCTAAAACTGTCTGAGGAATCCTCTTAAAGTTGGGCCTTATATACGTCTTCTAATGCGGAGAAGTCAAGCGTGCAGTTAACCCTGGATCAGCACGGCCGTGCTGTATTTGGCACGGCCGTGCTAGCTTGTCAGTAAGTAAACCGGATTTCTTCTTCAAATTGGCACGACCGTGCTATATATGGCACGGCCGTGCAGCTTCCTGGCACGGCCGTGCTAAAAATGGCACGGCCGTGCTGAATATGCTCTAGCACGGGGCTCATACTGAAGCTGACACGGGCACGTGCAACATCTGGCACGGCCGTGCTAATGGCCTGCACGGCCGTGCGGGTGCGTGGATACTGACACGGCCGTGCTATTGGCTTGCACGGCCGTGCTGCCTTGCCTGGGGTTGCTTGCTTATAGGCCAGCACGGGTGTGCCTATGGTAACACGGTCGTGCTGCCTGTGCTATGTAATCAATGCACGGCACTTGGACTTCCTTAACTCCGCGGACTCCGGTCAAGGCTAGCTCGGTTACGCATCAAGGGCTCGGGATCCGATTAAACTCGGTTGATATTACCTGAAAACACATCAAAAACAAACCGAAAACCCGTGAAGCACGTAATATGGGGAACGTAAGCATAACAAGGTAATAATCGGCCAAAGCGGCCCCAAATACATCCAAAATCATCCTAAAATATGCTCTAAAGCGCGCCCTAAAGTGCGCTTGTCAAAACCCCCCAAGCTACACTTTTGCTAGTCCTCGAGCAAAAACCAAGGGAAACACACACAAGATCAAATAAACTATGCCATTGCGAACAAATCAAATTAAGCACGGAATGAAATCAATGGATCCTACTTAGAACAACCATGCACGGAAGGAAAACTCACTCAAACAAGCAACGAGACACACAATCCAAGATATCGTTGATCAAATGCGAACAAGAC